GTCTTCCCAAGCATGGAGACCCTTCTGCTCATCTTCATCAGAGGATATTAGGAGGGAAGGGGGGGGGGGGGGGCCATCCATGGGGGGCCCAAGCCCAAAATTATATCTTTTTTTATATTAATTAAATTTAAGCCCCAAAATTGTTAAAATGTCATTTTTCTCAATTTTGACATTTTCCTCCAAATTATAAACCCATGATGGTTAAATTCATTTAAATAAAAAAGTTTTATATTTAAAACACTAAAACTTTGTGTTTTATATAAATTGGGTATAAATTGGAGCATTTGGCACTATATAGGACGTTTCAAATAGTTACGGGTCGGAACCGGACTTTCTAAGCAATTACCGGAAACTCTAGAAATTTTTCGGCCAATCTAATCTAACTAACTCCTAATCTTATAAATTATCTTTAGGAACACTAATATAGACTTAATAAGAGCTAACCTGGAAGCTCAAATTTGACAGTTGTCACAATATTTGGATCTACAAATCCTACATATTGCAAAAACTTTTCTGCCTTGATGGTTTCTAGGTTTAAAATAAGCATGGTGAGTGAGATGAACTTCTTTTTAGGTTTACAAGTTAAACAATTATCTTCAGGAATTTTTATTTGTCAAACAAAATATATTTCTGATATCCTGAAGAAATTTAATATGAAAAATTGTTCATCTATAAAAACACCTATGGCTCCTAGTTCAAAACTACATGTTGATTCTTCTGGTAAAGGTGTAGATTAGAAAACCTATCGAGGTATGATTGGTTCTTTGATGTATTTAACTTCTTGTAGGCTTGATATTATGTTCTCAACACATCTTTGTACCAGATATCAGGGTAATCCAAAAGAGTCCCATTTGAGTGCTGTTAAACACGTTTTTTGTTATCTAAAAGGGACTGCTAATCTAGGACTTTGGTGTCCAAAGGGTACTAGTTTTGAGTTGACTACATACTTAGATGCAGATTATGCAGGGTGTATGTTGGACAGGAAAAACACCTCAGGTCACATACAATTTCTTGGAGATAAACTTATAAGCTGGCGTCAAAGTAACAAAATTGTGTGTCAACTTCTACTGCTGAAGCTGCTAGCTATTGTTCTCATCTCAAATATTAAGGTTTTTCTTACAATAAAATTTCAATTTACTGTGATTCTAAGAGTGCTATTGTAATTTCTTGCAATCCTGTTCAACACACCAAAACAGAGCATATAGATATACAGTATCATTTTATTAAAGATCACGTTGAAAAAGAGACTATTGAATTATATTTTGTAAATACATAATATCATGTAGCTGACTTATTTACAAAATCTCTAGATGAAAAACGCTTTAACATTTTAATATCTAAGTTAGGTATGCTGAATTCGAAAATTTGAATTTTTCTTAACATTTATTCAATAACTTGAAAATCTTACGTTTATTAGTTAAACTGATAAATTTTGATTCTTATGTGATTGAACTCAGTTTAAGTCAAATTCATTATTTCAAAATATATGTATTTTCAATTATAAGTCAGTTTTTCATTTTTTTACGCAATTAAAACTTTTCAATGTGGATTCCATATTTGAGAGTGAGTGTTGAATATTTTTCATTATTTCGATTATTTTTTTAGGGGGAGTAATATATATGTATGTGATACTAACTGATATAATTTTTTTACAGGTATTTTTAAAAGTCTAATTTTTTTTTTTTTGAAATATAAGGATTTCTAAGGGTAAGTCTTATCCGATAAGGACCCTATCCGGACAAAACGTTGTCCGATAAGTACTATATCTGAACAAAGTGTTGTCCGGTGAGAGTCAAAGCCAGACAAAGGCATGTCCGATGAGGTCCTATCCGGACAAAGGCTATCCGGTGAAATCATATCCCCTACAAGGTTAGACTTGATGAATTTGCGGTTCTCATTTTGTGATCGATGAAGAGCGTATCCGGATAAAGGTTTGTCAAATGAATAGCCTATCCAGATAAGGCATTGTCCGATGAGTTTGAGTTTGAGTTCGAGTTTGTTTTGCATTCTATCTGGACATGGCATGTTCGATGAAACTCCTATTCGGACAATATGTTGTCCGGTGAGGAAAGTGACGAGTCGTTCCTTCCCCTATATAAGGAATCGTCCGAACTCGTTTTCATTTTTTACTATTCTTTTTCACTCTCATATTCTTCGCTCAAGTTTGCTCATCGCCTAGAACTTTCATCGGATATTCAAGTTTATGTGTTCTTCATCTTCATCTTCTTAAAATCTTTGGACTGTCATTGTTCTTGGACAAAGTTTTGGACTTAATAAAAAGGTTTGTTTTAGAGAATATGTTCTTAATAATGTTTAAATCAAATATGTAAACCTAATATGAACAAATCCTTGGACATGTCTCAAAATAATGGTCTGTTAATAATAAACTCTAATGGCTGTAAATTTCTTAATAACGAAAGAGTTTGTGACCGGAGATAGTTAACCGGAGAATAGATGATCGGAGAGTAGATGTTAGGAGTGTTGACTAGAGAAAGATGACTGGAGAGTAGATGTTAGGAGTATTGACTAGAGAGAGATGACCGAAGAGAGCTGACAGGTGAGGTCATCGAAGAAGGTGTTTTGACCAAATAATCTTGACCGGAGAAGGTTTTTCTTATTGTGTTTAATTTTATTTTAGTTTTAGGGTTTTTTTTTCTTTTTGGTGAAATTTTTTTTTGGAATTTTTTTTTTTGTATGTTGTAATTTTTTGTAGTTTTACTTTGTTTTTTTTTTTTGTCTTCCTCGTATATTTTTTTGTGGTTTATTTTTGAGTTTATTTTTTTAGTGTGTTTACTTTTTTCTAGTGTTTTAATTTTTTTTAAGTGTTTTAGGTTGAATTTTTTTTACTTGTGTGCTTATATATTTTTAAATTTTTTTTTAAGCGAAAAAAGTCGGAGCGTTTTTTGAAATCTTTGAAGCAATTTAAAATTTAGTTTGGCAAAGTAAGTGTGTATGTTTGGTCTTTGTGGCAAATTTTTTCAAGTTTGTGAAAATTTATTTCATTATGGATCTAATCGGTTTATTTTTTAAACTTGCCAAGTCCAAGTCCTACATCCGGATCACCTGAATTCTAAGATTTTGTGTCTGATCAAGAACTCTGCCGAGATATTAGACGTCTTGGATATTTTGAAGAAAATTTCTTTCGTTGGTATGGTACTTGCTGTTTCTATCCTGAATCGTTGTTTTACATCCAAGACAGCAGGAATTGACTTGTGCAATAGTTCTTTTTTGAAGTTCTTTCATGGCATCATGTTCAACCACCGATATGATTATGCAATGGTGATCTGGAATGAACTAGCGGAACTTGTTCATGTGAAAAAGTTTGCTTTGAAGACAAGGAATTTTGTGCCATTTCAAAGATTTCTATGATTAATCATCTGAGCTATGATGCGTGCCAACAAAGATATTCCTGCCAAACTTAACAGTCAATTTGGCCCAGACTTTGAAAGGCAATTTATCAGACCGCATGTTGAAGTGGAAGATGTCGATTCCATAATGAATATTCCACATGAGCTTATAGCCTACACTGATTAGAGTGCTCAACGCGTTTTAGAATATGGGGGAGTGATAGATCCTATGGTTCAACCAGAGCCGGTTGAACTTACCTCGGGATCACCCCATGCCTCAGATGAGCGTTGTGAGGGTTTAGGTATAGATGAGAGTGTTCAGGTACAAGGGGTACCTGAACTGGGTTTTGAGTAGAGGGAAAATGTGATTAAGAGGGGTTTGGAGCGGGGAGACTCTAATCAGCAACATACTTCAACTGACAGGACTTGCTCAGCTTCTTCAAGCTCAGAAGCTATTGTATCAGACTCGGCTACTCAATCTGATGACAACAATGATGATGATGATAATGCTGATGATAATGATGCTGATGATGTTGTTCATAATGATGCTGATGATGATGCTAATGATGAAAATGATTTTGACAATATCTTTGACGACAGTCAAAATCAGTAAAGTGATGAATTTCCAAGTCTTCAAGATCTTTCTTTCGATTTTGACTTTGGAGAAGACTTTAATGATTTTGGTGAAGTAGATCGTTTACTGGATGAAATAAAGACGGCTGAGGGAGAGTTAGTTGAAAATTTTGAGAGTGTGAGAGAAAGGGAAGAAGAAGAACATGGTGAGGGTGTGACAGAAACTATAAAAGAAAATTTTGTTCCTAACCAAACCGATACACATAGCCGGGCAACCACATCTCTAACGGCATTCATTCGTTGAATGTTGGTATTGAAGAAGACATAGCTAGCCCAGCTACGCATTTGCACACCCAACCCAGCCACTCTATTACTTCTCAACAAGTAATACATTCAATTTCTCACAGGGACGAAGCTCGACTGCTATCTACTCCTCACTTGGAGGATGTAGATATTGAAACAAGTCGACAACAACCCCTGTCTACGACTTCTTTTGTGTACACCTCGAGTCTAGAGCCAATATACACAATAGATACACAAGAGTTGGGAGCACTTGTTGCTCAACCTACTGTTCTAAGTGAACAAGCTAGAACGACCAGAGTGGAGTCTTTTGACTTTCCACAAGGACCGGTCGGAGGTCCTACCAGTGCTAATATCATCCAACACTGAACGTAGACATAACACTTTACTCAACTGTTGTTTCAGCTGGAAATCAATGTGATCCATGTGTTAGCTTACCTAACTTCGTATCAAGGGAATATTTTGATGGCGTCCTAAAGTTGTTTAGGATTCTTTATCAGAAGAAATTATTGGCCTTAAGCGATTGTTGAAGGGAAAACTACCTATGATTTAAGATGTTCCTGCTCTGTCGCCATCGCCTGCCCTTGAACCTCCTAGGGAGTTGGAATTATCGATGGATGAACTAAAGTCGATGCTTTATGCTAAAATGCTTACTCAACAAATTACAGAACCGGCAGACGCAGACTTGGTTGGTATGTTAAGACGTTTAATTGAATAAACCCAAACAGTTAAAGCCATAAAGTTTGATTCTTTTCAAACCGTTGTAGTTTCAAGTTTCTCAAAACTTGGTTTTACAATTGCTGCTAATACCCAATCCCTAGCTCAAATGCAAAATTCCATTGATATCCTGTTCGAAAGGGTATCAGCTCTGGAAAATTAGTGTTAAGCTTAAGCCACCTCTTTCAAAAGAAGGCATGATGATCAGGATGATCTTGATCACCATGAGGGGAAGAACAAGAGGCACAGGTTGGCTGAGACATCAAGGGGTGATGAAGGTGTTTCAGAAGATGATAACTCTGAGGAGCATCGAGAACAAAGTCCGGTTCAAGCTGCCTTGAGTTAACGGACTACTGGCCAAGAAGAAAATGTAGCTATAGATCTAATGATCGAGCCAATGGTTGTAAAGCCGACGGTCTCCATAGTAGAAACAAGGATGTTACTAGCTCTGTCAGCGAATGTTGGGTTTAATAATGTCTTTTCTAGAGAAATTGGAGGAGTACATATTTATGGAGCTGATACTGAAGTAAATGATGATTCAGATGATCTTTTCTTTGATTTTGAAACTGATATGGACGAAGATGATCCTATCTTCCCTATTCAATCTGAACATCAAGAAATCCATGAGTTAACTCCTATCGGTTCTCAAAGTGTTCCTGATACAACTTCTGTGGTTCAAGATGCTTCAAAAATATTTACAAAGAATTATGTGCCTTTTTGCAATTCATGCTAATGTTCCAGGGTTTGTCAGAGCTAGAATTAGAGAGCCATATCTCGAGGACATATACTTTAGCGTGTTTGTGCGTCATCGGAAAGCGCTAAGTGGAGATAAAATTATTGGTATTCACAAAGAAACCCATGAATATCGTATTGAATATAAGCATTTCTCAAAGCCAAACGTCTACCTATCAGTCAAATACTACCAAGCATAGAATTGTTTTGATCAAAAGCATTGAAGCCGGTAAGACGATCATGTTTGGAGTTTCAGTGAAGCTCACTTTCCGAATCTTTTTCTTGAAGACTTATAACATCTTTACCATGAAATTCACAACCAAACTGTCAGATTGGAAGGAGTTGTCTTAGGCCTTGAAGCTATTAAGCGCTATCTGAAATTTCATGTGAAGCTATATTCAGTAATCGACGTTCAAATGAGTTTTGAAAGCAACCAGAAGATTGTGAATCTGAAGAGGTCTAACCAAGAGTTTGAAGACATAGAAGGCTATCTTTTATTCTTAATCCTTGAAGATCCAGAGTTTGGCGTGGTTTATGAGATATCTGAGAATTCTAAAAGATTCTTGAGGTTCAGTGAGCTGAATAAGTACTCTGATGGTACTATTTAGATTGTGAGAAAAGGGCTTGAAAGCAAAAAGGCTATCGATGACAAAGCTACATGACGCGAAAAGTTAAGTCTAAGAGAGTGGTACTTACTGATAAGTGCTCTTGAATTACTAGATGAAAAGTTGCAGTATCAGAATGCTCTAAGGAGGTATGAGACAAACCTGGGCTTCAGAAGATCCAAATTTATAATGTCTCGTGCTTGAATCCAAAGGGGGAGAATGTTAGGTTTATGATG